GAGAGACTAGAAAACATAGAAATCGGTTACAGCAAATAATTTACTATACACCTGAGATCAAGAGGTGTCAGTATTAAATAGATTTTTCGATTTCTTTTGTGTGTCTTTGGGCTAGAGAAAAAACATGCTATTCTTTCACACCGAACGAAATGAAACGAATGTATTAACGACGATGCCACCAATCGCACATATTTGTCAATTCAATCATGAATCATCATTAATAACAAATCATTTTTGGGTTTCGATCTGAATTATAGAGTTGGCAATAAAGTTTTCCGGTTATCCTAATGTTTTTCTTGAGTCAGTATAGCTATCAAAACAAAAATGACCATTAGTGATGTTTATATCCGCCAGAAATGTTTCTCGCAATATTTATAGGAAATTTATATCAAATTACCTTTTTTCAGGCTACTTCTCTTAGTAGATATATCTGTTTTTATACACTAGATTTGGTTAAAATCCAAAGTATGAGCTTATACCGTAAACAAAAAATGCATTTTCATGCAGTTTCCACTTTGAAGACTCTCAACATTTGCAGAAAGAACAATTTTTTGTGTGACTTTACTCTCATTGTAAACAATAAAGCCTTCCGTTTGCATCGCGTCGTTTTGGCTTCTTGTTCCGAATACTTCTCCGCCATGTTTTCTCATGACACGAGAGAGTTTCGAGACGGTTATTCTAAGATGACTGATCTTGACTCGGAAGCCGTAAAACAGTGCATTGAATCATGTACACAGGGGAAGCAACTCCCACGCTTGAAACGATACAAACGCTTTTACACGCGTCTCGCTTTCTGCATTTAGATGGACTAACAGAGCTGTGCTTTGAAAAATTAATGGGCGAAATCAACCTACAAAGTTGCTTGTTCATAAAGCACTTAGCACACACATACAGTTGCAAGGATCTCGAAGTAGCAGCAAATAATTTTATTTTGAGCAACTTCGACTCAGTTTCAGGCAAACAAGTTTCGTTGATCTCAGTAAGGATGATATCGTTCAATTCATGAAATCTAATGATATTCAAATCAGCACAGTGATATCGCTGTGGAACGCAACTATGGCATGGATTAATATGATGTTGAAAACAGGAAAGAAGATCTGCATGAGTTACTTCAGCTCTTGAGGTTAGAAGAATATCCAGAAGAATTTATCCGCGTTACAATATGGAAAGACGAATTGATTCAAGAATCTGATCCATGCAAGTTGTTTGTTGCGCAGGCAATATTTAAAGTCATCATGTATTCGAATAGATTAGATGTCCTTAATTTGCAATCCTGTCTTTTTATCAAGAATCTGGGACGAAATTTTCATGTCGAAAAGCGGAAAACATTGCTAACAAATTTATACTGAACAATTTTGATGACGTTATTTTCGAACCGGGTTTTAGATATCTAGACAAAGAAGAAGTCATGCATTTGATCCAATCCCATGATGTTCGTTATTGTTCAGAAGTTAATTTATGGAAAGCTGTGAAATTTTGGATAGAACATGACGTCGTGGAAAGGAAAAAGCATTTCCGGATATGCTCCAGCATGTGAAGATGGGAAAAGATGCCATCTCACTTTCTCCAAACACGGGTTAGAAATGATGATCTTTTTGAAATCCTCAGATGTATGCAAGACATGTTGATGGACGCCTTGTTTGGCAAGTATCCAATGAAGGCAAGTGCAGTATAGCTATGATCGATCGCAGTTCCAAAGTTCTTAAATCTTATGAACCGATATCAAGTCAATGGCATGATTAGAAAACGTAAAAAATCGGCTTTTCATTTACTGAAAATCCGGTTTTCATTTTTGTTATTGAAGAGTATCTATACATGTTGGTCCAAAAAGGCAATGCATAGAATTTCCTGGAAAGAAAAGCAGTCAGAATGGGTCGAAATGTCCCACCATGCACACCAAGCGAGAGCCTGGCGCAACCTCGTTTACAATCGGGCGGTTTGTCTATGTAATGGATGGCCGATCTATCCCTGTTGCCGTCAATGGAAATGCAATTTCAGAGACAAAAATTGGATGCCATACTAAAAGATCTGGAAATAAAAGCGAGATATATTCAAACAGCAGCGGAGAATGTTACGATTCTTTATTGAATTCATGGACTCATATACCTGGAGTTCCAACTCCACGAACTAATGGTTGTCTTGCAGGCGTTGACGATATGATTTACTATATTGGGGGAAAACTTCTAGCTAGCAAAGAAACAAATTGGCTAGGAATGGATAGCCCTACCAATATCGTTGAGACGTATGATCCTGTTTCGAAAACATGGACAAAGGCGGTAAAATTAAACACGCCAGGTACGATTGCGCCAGTGCTGTTCTCAACAAAAGTATATATGTACTGGGTGGTGTTGGACAACAAGGAAGAGTGAATGATGTTGAAGTCTACGACATAATCAGCAAGTCTGGACATCCGTTGGAAGCATGACCGTACCTCGATCGCATTTTAGCGCTTGTGTGATTGATGGTTGTATTTATGCAGTTGGTGGTGACTATAGAAAAGACGCGTATGACAAAACAATTGAACTCTTCGACCCACACAAAAGAAAGTGGGAAGTTGTGAAGAAATTAAACATGAAAATCATAGACAACGCCGCCGTGGTCATTAACATTTGAAATAAAGCCTAACTAAGTACGTGATTTTGAAATGCTAACCAAACCAATAAAAATGTAGTCTTGTACAACAGATGGCCGAGCAACTGAAATTTGATACCTACAAATGATGGGTAGGTATCCCGCATTGACTGGGAACTCTCGTTGACCGAAATTTGTAACAAACCACTGACTCGTGTTACTTGACAATACAATTTATATGTTACAATTTTTTATCAATCTATCACGTACATACTGCTTTTAGCTTCAACATTTAATTATGCCGATAGTAATTTTCAGTTTTCAAATGGGAATTATGAATGTCTAAACTAAAGTATACGGTTTTGTGAACTCCATAAATCACAAAATACCAAGTTTGGGCACAAAAAACTTGTTTAATCAAAAGGGGTGTCAATCTTGCAGATTTCTGAGGGGGCCGCGGGCAATTTACGTTCTAATTTTATAATTGTTACTTATCTTATATATATATATAAATAGCAAGTTTTATGTTAGATGTAGTTTGCGACATACGTTTTGAGTCGGTCCGCGTGTTGCATTAACCCAAAATGCTGTTTCATACAATAACTACCACGATCAAGCATGTCAAAACCACTACGTTATACAAATCAGCTGAGGTTGAACCAATCAGTCCATTTTTGTGGCTGATGAAGATATAAACATTTTTAATTCAATCGAAGCTGTTTGAAACATTTTATTTTTGTCCTCCCGGGGTTGTGTTGCAACAACTTGCCCCTGGAAGATTTCTTCCCTCTTTTCCCTCAAATATGTTTTTACTTGAAAAATGGGCGTATATTTTATTGTAATTCACGTGACCACTTTTTGGCTGCGGTTAATAATATTTTAAAAAACTTATTGCTTTCCGAAAAAAAAAACCTTGCGATAGTATAACATTTATGGCGGCTGGCCGAAGGCCGCGGAGTTTGACACTTTTGACTTAAAAACTGTTAGTATACATCTATTGCAATAGTCTCAATCAGGGGCCTACAACACGCGGCCCACGGGTAATTTTTTCATGGTTCAGATTCGTCATGGTTTAGATTTTTCCACAAAAAACTAGAAGAGTACGATTTTAACTATGTGTAATTTTATCATGTTATTTAACATCAAGAGTCCGGTCCAACAAAAAATTTCTCCTTATTATTCCACGTTCATATTTCATTTTATTGTAACAAATAAATTGTAAATTTAGTAATTTCATGCCGCATTTTTATTGTGACGAAATAAACAAATGGCCCATGATATATTCTGAGTTGGAGAACCCTGATCTAAATAAAGACTCGAAACACATTTCTAATGTAAATGTATTAAAACAAATTAACTTGAACTACATTTTAAACCAGTTTGATAGAAGCATCCACCAATATACCAATGTGCATTCAGACTATATATAGTGAAAACTTGCACCAAATACGGTACGTAAAATAAGCCTTGCCGAAAAAGCCAAGCAAAGATCAGGATGAAGTATTTCATTACAAATTAGGCAAGCATAAGGAAAAATGTTCAAGATTTATTCATACATGAAATACCAACGCTTTATTATTTATTGCAGGAGACAGTACTTTCACGTAAAAACTTGAGCATAAAGGTTTTATTTGAAGCATCGTGCTGACGGGTAAATCGAATTTGATCACGTTTGGCTATGTATTGTATAAAACTTCAGAAAAAAACGTTCTAGTAAGATTTGAAAGTTGGATTCAAGGAAAAATTGGTGGTTCGCGCATGGCTTTCTCTCAAGCCTAATATATTCCCGGCAGGAATTTGCTGCTTCTTCATATATATACGAAAAACGGATCGTCAAAATTGTTTCATGTATCATTGACAATATGTTTTGTGGGAACTGACTAGCATTTTTCATTGCCGTATTTCTATTACCATCAGCCACATTTTGTCAGTTATTTGTCACATTTTTTCGGTTTTTACCATTTTAAATTCATCTGAATTGATGAGCACGGTAGAAATATATATAGCAAATTATCTTCAGCTGAATAAACAACCAAAAACCTTTAGTTACTACATTTAATCAGTTACCCGACCAACCATCCTTATTTATAGTCAATAATGTCAAAATCAGTTGTAATCTACCATGACAATGCGTAGAATCGTTTTCTTTTGCTGCCAATTACAATTAGTGGGTTAGGAGAGTAAAAACAAACAATAAGTGAGAAACTACAAAATAAATGACTGTTTATCGCGGCTGAATAAACTTGTGTTGAGGGCGTTAACTTCCTAAAAACAACAGCTTGCCATGAGATGGAAGTATGGAAATATTAAAACAAACTTCATAACTTCCTAGATTGTCGACTTATAAAGGCCATTTCATTAATAGGCATTTCATTAAAAATTATAGAAAAGCATGTTATAAGAATGGGATGAGATTTTTGCAAGTGAAATCTTCAATGAAAATTCTTTGATGAACGTTGAGCTTATGAAAAGTTGGTCAAGATTTTACATGTCTATGGTCTTTCCGCCATTGTGGGGTTATCTGATCCTCGATATTTTCATCTTTTTCTTCTGAGGTCAAATTTAAGGGTTTCATTGAATGCTCAAGAATAATTGCCGGCACTGGAGAGCGATTAAATCTCATTCCAGTATACCATTGCTCTCAATACAGTACGTCAACATCGATCTCCAATACTTGTCTAGGTACAATATTTCCGGGTTACCAATTATGATTAATAGAGCCTTCGCCCTAGTTACCGCAACGTTGAAACGTTTTGGATTTCGGAGGAATCCGAGGTTGAATGAAGCGTCGAATTGCAAGTGCTGTGTGTTGCTACGTACCGTACTGATAATTATTACTCTCCTTCTTGTCCTTGAATTCTTCGACGCTTCCCACTTTGATATCTTTGTTGTTCAACGCTTTTTTTTTATTTTTTCAACTTGCTTTCGGTAAGGAGTGATAACACCAATATCACTCGCCCTCACTTGTTTGCCTCGGATTTCTAATAGTTGATTAACATATTTTGTGACTTGCTTAGCTTCTTGTAGATTGAAGAATGAAGGACTTGTTGATTCTCTCTTATCTTCCCCTTGCATCCCAGTGGAATATGACAGGAAAATTTTTCTGTGGTAAGACGTCCCAGTTGCAAAGTAAATTTCTTGTAGTTCGTTGGCACAAACCTTAGTTCTCCGTCATAAAAATTCCGCGTTTTGGAAAACTGCTATTATACTCGGATGAGAACGATAATTTTTTAACAATTTGGTTATGGCATTGTGGTCTGTAATCAGTATTGTGCTTTTGATACATGTCACAGGTGGACATCAATCTTTCAAGAAATGATATTTGCAGGCCGTAACTCTTTGCAATCGAAGATCGAATTACTGGACCCAATTGCTTAGGATCTCCAGCCAGAACCATTTTTCCATTCTCTGAAAGTACTCCTGCTACGGCTATCATAGTCTCCGGCTCCATTGCCTGTCCAGCTTCGTCTATAAATACTCTGTCAAAATGTTCTTTTGGGAACTTTGCTGACGCAATACGCCCAGCTGTGATTAGAGTCGTAACAATGATACGACATTTCATCAGTTCTTCTTTAGCGGGAAACCTAAATTCTCCTCTGTAGTTTGAAACACCTTTTACATCTTCTGGTACTTCTCCCCAATTTCTTGATGCGGCATGCATTCGAAGAATTTCTCTTTTGTCTACGTGAAGAAGGAGTCGACTTGTCAAAAGGTCACAGGCGCTATTGGATGGGGCGCAAACGAGCATGTGACTAAAAGGGTGGCGTCTGAGAGTTTGATGAATAACTTCTACCATAGTAATAGTTTTTCCTGTTCCTGGAGGTCCGTATATAATATATACTGGGGCTGTAATTCCTTCAACGATATTATGAACCGCTTCCCTCTGCTCTTCGTTGCCATCAATATCTCTATTGTACATTTTCAGTACTTTAGTTGGAAGGTACCTGGGAGGATTTACAGGAAAAAGGATTTCACGTATGTCAGGCCGAGAAAACATCGCCTCCACTGACCTGTGCATTAGTTTCAAAGCTAGGCGGTTGAATTCGAAACGAACAAAATAAATTTTGTTTTTTATGTGCGTTCGAAAAATCCAGGAATTGAAACCGAGCCCTACTTCTTCCTGTTCGACATGGTGAACATATCCTTGATATATTTCAATTTCCAGATGACCATTTCTTCCAATTGCTCTCACATATATTTTGTCGCCACGGAGGACAGAAGGTCGTTTTTCAGCCAAGCCCGGAACTTTCAAGTACAGAAGCTTACTTCCCCTTTTTCGTTGCGTCAAAGTAACACCCCGCATGTCGTACATCTTTATGTCCTGTTGATGTTTCCATTCTTCTATATGTAACAGTCTCTTGAACTTGCTTTTATAATTGCTGGGTTCAAGTGCGCGTTGCAAGTCTTCTTTTATCAAAGTGTCACTCCTGCTAGCAAGTATTTTATTCGGATTGTACACGCCTCTTTTAATCGCGTTTTTAACTTCGTTTGGAACGTGACATGGGGGTAGACCCCATTTCATTTTAAGGTCGTTTTTCATAAAGCATATCAGGTCTTTCTCCGGGTATGAAGTTATCTAGCGAAATATATTCACCTCTACTTTGTGGTTGAGTTTTTTCCTCTGATTCAGACGAAGAAGACAGGTCACTGTCCGACACCATTTCGAATTTCAAATATCTAATGAGAAGTTCGCGCTCATTCCCAACTCTTAGCGTCACCTCCAACTCTGTACTGCTAACTTCGACATTACAAAGTGATCTTACCGCGATAAGTTGACTTGAATTAGGTGACAGGACAATGTTGTTTTCGGCATCTAAAATTTTCGAAGTTCTGACTTCTTGACAACAATTGGCATCGCTCTAAAACAACACCCAAAGATATTTTGTTTGTTATTAGCATTTCTATACAAGAGAACTTGAACGATTCTTCCGTGATTTTTCTTGTATACTGTCCCGTAACTGATTCCGATGTCTGTTCACTGGTCACTTCCATTTTTATCCACTTTGATTCTAATTTCCACTTGTCGATCCAATTTGTATTGGTTTGACTGATCGAACGACTTTTGAATTCGTGTGTACCGCGAAAGACAATTGTCGTGCCATTTCTTACACTCAGTTCTCGCCTTCCGAAGTGGCATAGAGCATAAAGCGCCGAGGAAAAGCTTATTGTAGAGTATCCCATCATACGCCGTTCATCACGAAAGTCATTGAAATGACATGCCAAGTCTGGTCTGTACCAAGTTCGTATCAAGTTCCTTTCTACCAGATAGTCCAAAAAATCCTCTGCAATATCTCTGATTTCTGATTTATTCATTTTCAAATATGCTATATACCAATTGTATTTTCTGTTTATTTATTTGATGAAAAATGAAATGTTCACAAATAATGCTAAACTTATTAGGTTAACATCGTTTAGGGAGTAATTTATATTAATAATAATTTGAATTATTCATCCCATAAAAAGGTTTATTTATTGTCGCTCAAAACCCATACAATTTGAGTAGTGAGAAGCTGTCAAAATAGTGTTATCAAGAATAGCATCGCATCTCCAATCGCACAAGTACATTGGGACTGGAAAGGGGAGAGAAAGGACGCTGACTGTAGCATCGAGAAGAAACCCGATCCACACTAGAAACTATTATTTACCAGAAAATAGCTTCGGAAGTATTTGAATATAGGCTATTTCATTCTGGCATGATTTTTATTATTATAATGAATAATGGTACACGCCATAAGGTTTAACAGGCAAGAAATTCAATAATTATTCTGACGACAGAAAATATACACGATTACAGTGTTCACTACTAGCGCACTTTTTTGCGAAAATTGCGGAGCACTTTCGCAACTTTTTTTAGGGACTGCGAAATAGCACTTTTTTCCGATTTTGAAGAGAAATAGCACTTTTTCCGATTTTGAATGGAATAAAAATTCAAAGTTAACAAATATTTTCGAGTATTAAGTTACTGGTACTTTTGTAACTCAATTCTGCATATCATAACGATATTTACCGGAATTTTGACCTATGAGATGCAGACATAGGAGATAAAGCTTTTGCATTAACAGCAAAATTCTTGTTTTAAATATGATTATTATACAAGCACAGGGATTCCGCTTCTCCCGCAAAAAACGCTCCCGGGGCGTTTCTTTGAACGAGAGTGGTCATGTGACTATCGATGATATCGGTGAATTCAAATTGACTATAAAAAGTGTTAGTAACCTGTTATAGTCACTTTGGATGAATTGTGACCAAACTGCACGATTTTCAAATCAGACGAAACTTTTAGCAGCATGTCACAGATTTGCAAAATCAACAAATTCACAAAATACCATTAAGTGCCATTTTGATGTAATCACAATGTTGAAAGTACGTGGCATTTTCCGGAATTTTGCGATATTTACACAACTATTTCTCATTGATATGCGAGGAGGGGTGGGCAAAATTCAATATTTTTTTAAATCGAATATTTTTAAGGAGTATCGAATAAACGTGGTGGAAACATTAAAAAATCGGCAACAAAGCCTTTTTACTGGTTAATTCCGTTGTAATCGCTAATTGTTCTTGTCACCGATCGTTTTGGCGGCGATATCCAGGTTTTGGGTAATCTATATTCCCGCCCTCTCTTTTTTACAAATATGAATTCTTGTGGGTCGGCGGACATCGAAGTTTTATATTTCGGGTTTACCCGTTCGTTCACATCGGCAACAGCTGTTGAAGACATTGAGGACTCAAATTAACATTTGCGCTGGCTTCAATATTACCTATCAAGATTTGTAAATTTACCGTCCCAATTTTATGCGAATGGTAATATTATTGTCCATACCGTGATGCAGATATTTATTAAGACGATAATTAACTTTCTCATGTATTTCTATGGTGATAAACTTCGCAAATCTGAAATTGTGCCAATCCTGCATGTTGATTTGAAATAATGATTGAATAATTCGGCTATAAAGGCATTTCTGCGTGGTCATAAGACGAGATGACGTTAATGAACAGCACTTCTTTTACAGCATATTTTACGTATGCGACTTAATGCTAAAAAGATTGGGCTCGAGTGCTTTTTTTTTCGAGTGCTCGAGTGCCTAATAGAGGTCAGGCGCTAATTGTAACTAATTCCCTCAAGTTTCAACGTGTTTTCAACAAAACGATACCCCGGCGATAATTATAGCTAAAATGTTACCGAGCAATTCACAATTTTATTTATGGAATTTGCAAATTCACCAGTTTCTTGACGATTTTGATGTTGTCACACCCTAATTATTAGTGCAAAAAATACTCCCCTTCTTCCGCGGCGGTTTGACGGGTTCTTTGTTCCATTCTTCAGAAAGTTCTGACACAGGGATATAGAATACTGAATCCGAATCCCTGTCCACTTACTGGTGATTTTCCGTTTTGAAATGCGTGAAACACTCTCTATTTTAAATTAAATGACGTTTCGCGGGCTAGAGTTCTCCCCGAAAATGATGTGTTCCAGACGTTAGTTATACGATAGATAAAACATTAAATTAATAATTTTCGTGACGCCCGTTTTCGAAAATACAAAGTTATATCGCAAAAAAATGCGTTATGATACATTTGGAATGAAACATTATTTACGGTGAATTAGATCATATTTTGCTACATTTTGTTACATTTAAAATAAAACATTTTTGCGATTAATTTAGATCATATTTTACTTTTCAGGAAACCCGTTTTCGAAAATACAAGGTTATATCGCAAAATGTGTTTTGTTACATTTAAAATAAAACATTTTTGCAATTAATTTAGATCAAATTTTACCTTTCACGGCAACACGTTTTCGAAATACAAAGTTATATCACAAAAAATGCGTTTTGTTACATTTATTTTGCATTCCCAATAAAATACATATTTTCCCTAATTAAGGTCTTCGATGAATCTGTTCCTGTCGTTCAAGCTCGACACACGTTTGGACGAGTGTGGGGCGGTTTTTTGATCGACGATAAATTAAAAAGTTGCCACACGTTATTTGTATAACGATAATAACTGAAAATTAAGATTTTATAATAGAAGTGAATTTGTCTCAAGATGGTATTTTACAATTCCTTCCCACAGAAAATAAACACGCTGACAGGCTTGGTTATAATTGATATTCGTTTAATTTATTTTACACTATAAATAAACGCGCCACACCAATTGCGACCATATAAATTGCAGTCGCATCGTTATGGACTGTATGTTTTTGGCGCTCTCAAATTAATACTAATTTTCAACAAAACAATACCCCGACGGTCATTAAAGCTGAATTAAAGCTGATTTTGATGATGTCATGCCCTAATTATTACTGCTTAAATGCCTCAAAATACAGCAAATGTAATAATTTTCGACGATAACAGGCGCAACAATTCGTAAACGAGCCGTTATAACGAAATTCGCGATTGATTTTACCTCTCTCTTGTTTACAATTTTAACATCCCGCCGGCCATGTATGGTCGAATAAAATGTTCACATATTCGAAACATAACTTGGCCAAGGATGGAAGGGATCACTAAAGAGCTAATAGAAAGTACATACGCGAGGGTATGATATTAATATCGAGAATATTTGAGCATATCACAGGACGGAAATATTTTGCACCCCGCTGTTTGTTGGCAGAACAACGATACGCTAAAGTTAATTGATCGAATACAGGGAAGTATTTATTTATCATCTCACTTGCGAACATCGAGGTTTTGGCGGAATTGTACAATCATGTTGTCTTTCTTAAATAATAACTTTTTCAATAAATGTTCATTTTACTTTTGCGTCTTTATTATATGTCTGGTTTTCATTTATTTTAAATTCGAAATTGTCCGAAATACTCCAACAGGTGTATAGGTACAATAATAATAGTACTTACCAAAGTACACACCAGGGAAGTTTAACACACACGATGTGTAAAGGGCGTCGTAACTCCCGTTTATTAATTATAAATTTTTTTACATTCTGCTTAAAAAACAATGGCAGTCATCTCACGTAACTCTCGCGACCAAATCTTTTTTGTTTTGTATGGCATCGTCTTGGCGACGAATTTATTGCTGACTGAATTTTAATTGTGTTTTAGGTTAGTTATTTTCTGTTTGTTGGTTTCTAAAATTTACAAACTTGGGTAGCAATTACTATTAATGTGAGATTTGTGCATATGAACGATTGAATATCGCGACTGGATGTCCGATATCTGAGAATGCGTAATTCTCTTTCAACATTAATTTTCAGGATATCAGCGTTCATGTGGTCGAATAAAAATTATTTATCAAATGGATTGGTATTTCGAGACACTCTCAAAATTATTTGGGATCCATTATCATATCATTCGTTTATTTTTTATATTCATGTTTTTCTCAAGAATCACCCTCGTTATATTTAGTGTACCTTGGCAAAAGAAAACTCTTTGATGTCATCGTTCCTATTAGTGTAATTGAAATATATGGAAACCTCGCAAGTGGCGTTGTGATGCGAATATTTGATACTAGGTCAGCAGCATTACAAAGAGTGCTATTTATGAATGCTGAAAGTACATGACATTACTAAACATTTTGCCAATATATGATGTTTTCTGCCTGATTTAAACTAACTCGCACGCAAACAAGGCATGTGGACATTTAAAAATTACTTGTCTTTGGGCAAGCTCTAAAATAGTATAATATAAATGTAAATGAGAAATTAGGTCACGCTAGCTCACGAAACGGGAGGATTTTCAAAGTGATCTTGTGTAATATTTCGGAGAAAAAAGTTTGAAAGGAAAGTAGGTCAACCTATCTCCTAATACAGGGGAGTATCCTGCATAATATTTCGGAAGGAACGTAGGTTAACCTATCTTTTAAAACAGCGGGTGGCGACTTTCAAAGTGGTTCAAAATCACAAATTAATAATTATCAGATTAGGTTTAGGGATGAATCGAAAAGTTGAATTTCTAGCTTCTATTATTTTGCACCGGATTTGTACAAACGATCCACCCTGTAACTAATATGGTTTCCAGCCGGCCTGTGTCTGTTAGATGGAAGGAGTAACAAATGTGAAAGTCTTTGCTGTTTACGCGAGTAAGCAACTGACACCGTGATACATTGCATGAAAGTTTTGTCCGCGGCAGGTGTTAGCAGATGTCATTTCGTTGCCGATGAATTCGCTTGTTTTAATTAAACATGAATTCGCTTAAAGGGAACTCCGTTAACGAAAAGGCTTCTCTTTAATTCATAATATTAACCGGAGGAGCGCTTTTTCGAGTATCTATGCCGTTTTAAATGGGTTTTATGAAAGGCTAGGGCACCTAACTTGTTAAAATCGGCAAAATCACTTTCGCACTTTTTTTTTGGACT